TTATTGTTGTAAAGATAACGGGATGAATCCTTTCCCATGAGAAAGAAAATCCTGACAACCTGTAAATTTCATTTAGTTCCACTGTGAAGGTAGAAGGTCATTTGTGATTTTTTTTTCCTGTTTAAATCAAAACTTAAAAGTATATAGCACACACTTCCCTGGCAGGTAGGGGACCTTCATATCAGACCAAGACAAGGAGAATGTCTTCGTCTGAGGTCTGAACCTACTATTTTATAAAATGTCAGTGGCAAGATGAATTGAGAACCCTATGATAGAAGTTTAAAGTGGATTGAGCAGATAAAGAAAATATCTTATTCACTCACATTTGTCTGAAGGCATTATCTGTTCTGGTGTTATGCACTGTTCCTTTGCAGTTTGATTCATTTTGTTGTTGCTGTTTCCTACAAACTGAATCTGGTTTTGTCAATGGATACTATCCTGGTGATGCTCATGGTCCCTTGATGCAACTGCTAGGAAGCATTGCTCGGGAAACCAAAACAGTACGCTGGTAGGGTCCCCCAATTCTTATTAATTAATACTAGTTAGCTAGTTAGAAAACAACACTGCTGTGCCCTAAGAGCTGCCCACACTTGCTGCATGTTGACTCTTGATCTCACATATTAAAAAAGGAAAAGATACTAGGTAAGGATTCTGCAAAGTCAGCAACACCTTTCCATCTAAAATTTTCAAGGATCTTAAGACTGATTTGTGCAAAATCATTGCATGCTTTTAATTGATGTGAATGGAAGAAGATAGGCACAACAGTTATTTGGAAAATGGAAAGCTAGCTTGCCAGAGTCAGTGGGTTTTCTTCTTGCCATCTCCCTCAGGTTCCAGTTTTCTATGTGGAGGTTGTATCCTCTGTGTGTGTGTTGTTTTAATCTCATGTAGCTCACTACGATTTGCAGGAGGATGCTAAGTGTAAGTTTATTCCTGATCAGCATGTTGTGTTGAAATGGCCTTTCTCTTTCCCCAAATTACAATGAATCACTGCTGTGAACGGAATCCAACCCTGGAAATAACCTGAAGGATCAGGACTATTAAATAGTTATCATTCTTGCTACTTATTTCATGGCTACCCACAGCAATAACATGGATACAGCATATGCTTTTATTATTTTAAACAAGACATAACCTGCTTTTAAATGTATTCAAATTCTCAAAAAAGCAGAGAATATACAAATAATAATAGTATATAATAATTGTGAGAAATAACAGTAATAATATATAGTAATAGTTTATTCTTCGGCACTCCTTGTCAGATAATAGCCTATCTAATTAAAAAAATGTTTCTAGGTGGGTATCAAGCTTTGGAATGTGGAAGGAATCAGTTATTAAAGAACTCTGTTGGCTATAAACAGTGAATGATACTGCTGCAGTAGACCAGGCACATATACAATCAAGCATCATGTGTCCAGTAGCAATCAATCAGAAGCCTTTATGAAGTACAGCCACATAAGCTCTAGATACATGATCAGAAACTCTATAATAGATGTGGTTGCAGATTATATGTATGTGTAAATATTTTGTTTGCAGGTAGTCCTCACTTAATGACTTTCATTGGGACTGGAATTTCTGTCGCTAAGCGAAGCGATTGTTAGGCGAAACATCACATGACCGCACCACTTAGCAATGGCAGTTCTGGTAGTCCCAGCTGCAGTCATTAGGCCAGGACCGCACCTTCATTAGGTGAGAACCTCATGCTTCTCCTGCCCTGTTGCACTCGCCTCCGTTTCAACTCCCCTCACTGCCATCTCTGCCCTTTTGGCTGCCCTGCACTTTGTCACCGCCTACCCTTGCGGCCCCCCACCGCCCCCAGCTGACCTTCGCTGTCTTTTTCCTCCCACTGCTGATGAGGCATGCTGGCCAAAGCAGCTGCTGGGCCTTTGCGAGGCCTCCCCAAGGCCTCCCCAAAGCCTTACATGGCCTCCCCAAAGCCTTGTGAGGCCTCCCTGAAGCCTCACGAGGCCTCGTGAGGCTTTCCCAAAGACTGCACAGAGGCTGTGCAAGAACCTTGCGATGGGCCAGCAGCTGCCTCAGCCAGGGACACCTCAGTAGCGGTGGGAGGAAGAAGACAGCAAAGGCCAGTGGGGGTGGTGGGGAATGGCAGGGGTAGGCAGTGGAATTTTTCTTTTTTCTTTTGTACTTTTTATCTATCTATCTATAATATATTTATTTGTGTGTGTGTGTACACACATACTTTTATATTTTTATATATTTTTATACAATGTAGATTGTATTAATTTTATCTGTACAATATAATCTTCAATAAAATTATTCTAAAAAAAACCCAAAAAGAAACAACAGCAACAGCAAACAAAGAATAAAACCTCCAAGGTATAATTAGAATGAAGCAGCTTACGGTCATAAAACTCTTACAACCAAAAGAACAGTGCTTTTATACTTATTTCAATGGGAGCCGCCCCCAGGTAAATGTGTATACAATTGCAGTCTGTTTTTCTTAAAAACAAAGGAATTCCAGGATTTAGCAGAATCTTCTGTATCGCATTTCTGTTCTTATTATGGGAGTCGGTTGGTTATAATAGTTCATTTGTTTGTTTTTACTGTTTAATATACTGGCAGGTCCATAATTCTCTAGTTTTCATCATAATTCATTCATTTTTTTCTTTCTGCTTTTTACAAATAAGTATCATTTGATCTAATTCATTTTTTCAATATCTATTCCATGAATTCAGTACATGTCACATACAGTTATGTTAGTGTTTTTCATTACTTAGTAATACATATTAAATGCTAATTACTTATCATTGTCATTTCTGTTATTAGCTGTTCTTCTATTATCACTAGGAATTTGAAAGTAGCCATATGAAAAATTACTGAGGATGAGAAACCTATTATGTTTTCTTTTCATAATAATTACCCAAACCCTAACCCAGATTCCAGCTGCAGATTTATACCTACAGTTTTAGAAATAAATGTCCTTGAAGTCAGTAAGAAGTACTTTTGAATAGATAATTACAGGATTTGCTGTGAATTAATTTAGTTTAAATTCTGTTTAAATCAGTGGGATAATTAATCATGTCTTAATTTTCTACGAGTTTGAAATAAATTATGTAGAACTAACTTTACTCTGCATTCAGCTAGATATATTTACAAAAGCATACATGTAGTGGGCCTTATAGGATATTAGTGCATTCATTAGTGCTCCAGATTTTCATAAATTGGGCTGTGAAATTGAAATAGCTGATATTCATACTATGCATTTTACATTACATTGCTCTGTATGTAAAAGGACCACTATACTTAATGCTTTTCTTGCAGACAAATATTTTACATTACACTTTTGGATACAGATATAACTCATTCATTCATATAACTTTCTTAATACGAGAGAATACATATTTCCTTCTGTTCATAACTCTTCCAGGTGATTTGGATTATTACTGGTTGGATCCTGCCACATGGCACAGTAGAGATACATCCCCTATTAGCTCGGTAAGAAATATATATAATTGTTTTGTTGGTTTAAATTAAAGAATAATATTATTCCATAGCCATTATAATGTTGTTGATAGTTTTTGGTATGCCAATGTAACCCATATAAGAAATGTTTATCAGCATTGGATCTTAAGGTGTTTTCCATCCATGGAGTAATGTATTCTGTTTGCAGAAGTCTTCCGTTACAAGGGAAGGTCATAATAGTGGAAGTGAAGGAGATAGTTTTCACTGATTCCAGCTCCTCTTGAAGAATCCCCCAAACCTCCAGAATGAGAAATGTGAACAGAAGTTTGCTAACAGGATGCTGCTACTGATTGCAGCAAATGCAGGATCCAACCCATTCCTATAGAGTAAACATATGTACAAAAGCAGAATAAAGTATATTGAGGTGAACATTGTAAAGATGTGTCCCATATATGTCTCACCAAGCCAAATTCAGGTCTAAATTATGTACATTCCTATTTTGTGTTGGACAATCCCATTTTTGCATAACAGATACATATTTCAATATGGTTGATCGAGCCTTGCTTGTCCACAATCCCACTGTCCACTTTTGTAAGTTTCACCTCCATCTGGGCCTGCTGTCGTGTGCCCAGGACCATCCAGGTGATACAGCAGATTTGACCTGTAACTGGTGTTTATTGCCACTACCTTCTTTCTGCTCCTCCGACAGGGATTTAGGAACAAACCCAAAAGAGAGAAAATGTCTTCGCCTTTCATTTAACTGGCAAAATGTGAGGGAGGTTTAAGCTCAGTAACTGGTAACTGGCAGAGGTCTAGGTTTTCTGAGCAATGTGGTGAGATTATAACCCACAAAACACAAACTGGCACCCAAAGGATCTCTGTAAGGTCGTATTTCCTTTTTTAGAAAACAAACAGCACTAAGAGAACACAGGCTTAGAGGAAAAAGGGCTGTGGGTAGGCTCATCCAAAGATTGAGCCTCAGAGAAAATAACTATGAAAGGAATCAGACAAGGCTTTGAGCTCCTGCAAATTAAATAAAACAATCCACTCTGATTACTTACGGCACCAACCAGTCTGAGTACAGTTGATTTTTTTCCCTGAATCCCAGAAGATTTATACACCACAATGCTGAAATAAGTTTAGATCCCTTCCTTCCTGAGCCATGGGGAAATTCAATGAACAAAAGCATCAAGTAAATTCCTTCTCTGCTATTTAACTTGGAGGAGGGTGGAATGGTGTTGTCTCTCATAAATGTCCTTACTAGAGGTGAAAGGAATCAGGTTTCATTCAGCTGTTCGTGTGTCTGTGCTCTGCTGTAATGGGGATCTCTGGAATTTGTCTCCTTAGAGATGCCTTTCATAAGCTGAAATATACTTATTAGATTGCAGGTTGTTAAATATGTGTTACATTTTTCTGTATTAAACATAATGCAAGATAAATATTTCTTTTAATTCTGGAGATAACAAGCAATTTAAATAATGAGTATAAATAATAAAAGTAAGTGATCATTATAAAAGTAGAGACCTAAAGTCTTTACCACAAAAACAGTTTTTCAATTCATTTGCTTTCCTTTATTTATATATGTGTAACAGCATCCTGTAACTTGGCAGCCATCTAAAGAGGGAGATCGGCTAATTGGTCGTGTTATTCTCAACAAGAGAACAACTATGCCAAAAGAGTCAGGTGCATTACTGGGACTCAAAGTAAGTGCCTTGGAGACTATACCATAAACTTATTTCCATTAATCCTTTGTATTAAGACTGACCACTGGCCAAAATTATGAAGTTTCCTTAGCAGGATTTTAAAGTAGTCTATAATTCAAATAGGACCTTGAGATGGAAAAGAAGAAACGGAAGTTAAACTACTCCACACTTCTTAATTTTTAAGGCTGAATTCACACAACATGCATGGCTAAACTGTACTTTGCCAATTTGTGGCTCCATGTATTGTGTGACCCAAACAGTGCAGTTAAGTTATTGTGCAGTGTGTTGTTGAAATCCATGCAATTGGGTTAATTCAGTGAACCGTGCTTTAATTAACAATTGGTTAGCATTTTGGTTGAACATACCCTAAATAGTAAATGGAAGCTGATCCAGATAATGATCTTTTTAGCATTCTGCCTCTTCAGAGTATTTAGGATAGGTACAAATTGATTTATAATTCCTAGATAGCCAGTGGTTAGGTCAGTAACCACTCGTGAAATTTCTTTTCCTCCATGAATTCCTAGTTTTTAGAAGTATATATGTACGTTCCAAATTCCTTGTCATGTAAAAGGAAAATTAAGTTAGTAAGGGTACATCTTGCCACTTTTAATAGCCAATCACATTGAATGCTGTGTTCTTCTGATTGTTCATAGGCTGAGTCAGGAGCCAGTGATTTCTCTTTGCTGTCTTTCTAGATCCTCAGCCAAGTTGTTTGAACTCTGCCTCTAAGAAGACCTGGTAGAAAGGGCTAGATTACTGTAGCAGTCATTAGCTATACGATATCCTTTCTGCCTACAAAGAATGACAGGAAGTATGAATGGCAGTTAACATTGTCATGTACCATGACTCTCATCCTAAAAAAGAATACATCAGTATAGGTGTATTTTACTTTTGGAGTCAACCATACTACAGGTTCCAAGGTTTAGGAAAATTATGTCAAACTTTCCATTGCTATTTGTGTTCCTTAAACATCAGCTTTGAAAGGTGATAGAACTCAATAGTGGAAAATATTTTAGTGCTCAATGTTGAAATATTGAGATAGTAATGTTCGCTGAGCTTGGTTTTTTTCTTGCAAACAAACAACTCCACTCAATTGTGTTGCTACCAGGGACCCCAACATACAATTTAACCAAAAAACTCACCAAATAGCTTGATACCTCGTAGATGGGAATGAACATGCAATTTCAGTGCCTTGAGAAAATTAAAGACTTAACAATTAAGGAAGATGAAATCATGATCTAATTTGATATCACAACATTCTTACCTCCATAGATTCGAAACTGTCAGAATAATCCATTGAAGCCTTACTATATAAAGCATCAAACCTGGCCAAGCATACAAAAAGGGAAAAAAGCTAGAATCATGGACCATTGCCTCACCACATACTTTGGGTTTGATGGATAGATACACAAACAAATCAGAGGATATACAAACACCACAGGAGCAATCTCTACAAAGTTTCTTAAGGAACCCCCCAGATCTAACAACCACAGAAGAGAGAACAGGAATTATTTAGAACATACAATGTAAAGACTGTGAAAGTCACTGTCAGAAGATTAACAGAATGCATAGACGTGAGGAAAATGAGGAAAATATATCTTTGGGTGACTCTTCGGGTGAAAGAAGCAAGTTTTTAGAGGCCTTACATGAATGGGATCACCTTAATAAAATTGAAACATAAAGGAATGTGCAGCACCCTTGAAGCTGGACATGAACTAGGCTGATTGTAAACCCCTTATCACAAACACCCACATAGCAAGAGAGGATGTCTTCTTCCTGGCAGTTGGCACCTTGAACAATTTGTTTCTTCCCTTCTGACACTATTGCTTTCCTTATAGATAGCAGTTGTTCCATCCTTGTAGATAGCAGTCAAGAACAGGGACAGAAAGTAACTTGAGAAGTATTGCTCATTTAGGTACTGTATGCCTGCATCATCATATGAATATGTATACGTGTG